GAACTAGTGCGCCTACTTACCATTTGGTTTCTCATTCTTGCAGATATACTCCTAGTTATAATTACCATACTTTAAAAATTAAAGCAAATTATACTCATATAGGCATTTAATTCACTCAATAACATAAGAAAATTCAATAAAAATAACTTCATTTCATTAATAATCAAATTGAAATTGCAACTTTGCCATCTAAGGCAATTATTGAAAGCAATAAACATAACATAGTTCACATTTAAGCAACACTCTTAGAATAGTCATCCTCATTAGGATCATAGTCAGGATCATCTTGCTTAGATTTTCCCTTATCATTTGGGTCAGTCATGAAAGTTGGGTTATATCCATTGTAGCTTGGAGTATGGCCTGAACTTGAATTTGGATTAAGGTCACTAAGAGTATCGTCCGAGCTTGCATAAGGAGTGTAAGTTGGGCTTCTAAGTGGGATAATACTACCACAAGGTTTCTTTGAAGAAGCATTGAGATTTTGTTGAACTCTTGGTGAAAGTGGATGATATTCTAGACATGGTGACTTTTGATTAATTTCTTGGTTAAGATTTCTAGGCCTTTTTGCAATATGAAAATGGGCTTTTGGGCTTTGAAGCCTTGGAGGTTCATAGCTTGGAGTAGGTGAAGGAGAAGGGTAATTCTTGCTCCTCCCAATTAAGAGGTGGTATGGACTCATCAGAAGAGGACTTAAATTCATGGCGACGCTTCTAGTATGAAAAAGATAACTACGCATTTAAGTAGTACATTTGGTCATCTTTTCTCAAGGTATCATTCCTCAAAAATTTGAAGAAATTTCATAATTTTCCTCCTAGGCTCATAGTCACGTTCAACATAGTGCAACTCTCTTTTAAAGCTAGACATGGTTTCTAACCACTTCCCTTCGTGATTGTGTTTTTCATTCCACATTCCATAATCCTTGATTACATCCCCATACTTGTCAAAGAGAGGTTTATATTTGTAGACTCTTGGCAAATGGGCTAAGGCCAAAAGAATCTAAGGTGGTTGGGTCAACACTTCCAATCCATACGTTCATAGAGGGTTAAGGCCAAAGTAACTATGCTTGTCACAAAGTCACTAACACTGACTCCATCATCTTTCAAATAATGCAAGTTAAAGTATTTCTTTCTCATTTCATCAATCCTTTCCATATGTTTCACATACACATGCAAAACAATCAATTCAATACCAAATCACATAAACAATTCAATTCAAAAATCCATTTGCATAAAGCAATTCATAATTCAATCAACCAAGTATAATTCAAGATCACCCAACTATAGGCAATAACTCAAATATTTCGGATCTCATGACCATAGACTAAGGTGTTTAAACACAAACTTTAATGCACACATAATCACACAAACTCAAGCTTCAAATAGTTCAATTCTTTTAGTTTTCAAAAATAATAATAATGTACTTAATCATGATATTAGACAGTCGAGCCCGCGTCTCCCAAGTAAGTTAACTACAGCATCAAAGCGAGCCTTACCTAGACAGAGAGTCATACCCATTATTGGCCTCCGTAGAGAACTCGAGAATCCTTTTCTCAATCATCTTTCCAAAGTAGGAAAATAGTTTTTATACAAAAATAAAGCTTTTGACTTTCACACACAAATGCGAAACTCTATCCTATATGCCCTCTTAAGTCTACCCACAATTTTTATTTTTATTCCAAATTTTAATCTTTTTAGGACCGGAAAACTGATACAACTTTGTAACACCCCCAAATCTCCCTCTACGGAAATACCAGTATAATACGTATAATTATACCGTAGAGATAGACTTAGGTGTATTACCGCCGCATGATTACGCAAGGCTACTCAAAACTACTAATCAAAACAAAAACTTTGCAGCGGAAACTCAAACTCTACTTAATATAAATAGTAATCATTGTTTTGAGTACTCAAAAATATAAACAAAGACCAACATTCCTAAACTAGGTGAAGAATATCCCGGGACTCCCAAATGCTCATTTATTGACTCCACCTGAAAATAGTCAACACTGCTTACCATTAAGTTAAAGAGGGCAAACCAAAATGAATAGGAAATACAGATTAGCAAAATATACTAAGTACGATAAGTGCAAGATAAGTAAACTCAATTTATTAGCAAACATGCTTTTAAAATCAATCACGAAAATTCCAATATTTATTTCAATAACTCTAATATCATAATTCAAACCAATTCTCAAGATTCTCAAAATAATTCCAATAACTCAATAATTCAATAATATTGATTATTAAAAAAATTCCTCTTTTAAAAACTCAATTCCTCTCCTAAGTGTGCACCCCCCAAGCTAGTATCTTTTATTGAAAGGCTATTCTTGAGGAAAGACTTCGTCATACAAAATCCAGAGTCTTATCAACCAAATCCGCATAGTGGGATTAATATAATTATGCTTGTAAGGCTTTAATAAATAATTGAATAAAGCCTCTTTAAATCAATAATTCCAACCTTTATAATAAATCAACTCAAACTCCTTTTTATTTAATTCAACATGCTTTCAAAATCAAACCATTTAAACATGATAAATAATTCAATTATTCAAAACATGCTATTAAAATCAATCCTTCAAGTTTATATCAAAACCAATTTCTTTTAACGTACTTTATTTCATAAATCATAATTCAAATCAATTTAATTCAATCATCATAGAAATCATATAAAACATGCTTATTCAATCCGATCAATTTCGAAGGTATCAAGCCACCTAAACGTACCTTGATCCTTGCTTAGAAAACACATAAAAAGGAACCTCAAGAACTCTTGTAAAAAACACCCTACAATTAAATATAACCTTAATCAATATAAGGTCAACAAATAATCACAACAATTAAAATAAAACCCCCAATGTACATGAACCTTATAAAATTCTTTTTCATAAACTTGAATAATAAACTGAATTTATTTAATTAAAAACACTCATAATAGTTTTTATAAAACCCCCTCAGTAATGATAATAATAATAATAATAATAATAATAATAATAACAATAATAATAATAATAATAATAATAATAATAATAATAATAATAATAATAATAATAATAATAATTAGGAGAAGAGAAGAAGAAGTAGAAAACCGAGAAGAGGAAGGAGGAAAGAATTGGCAAAGGGGAGTAGCAGCACGCCGGCAGGTGGCCGTTGCTGGTGGATGACGTCAGCTGTTGCACGAGAGTGGTGGAAGCCGGTGGTAGCGGTGGTTTGTGGTGGTGGTTGTGTAAGAAAACCGTGAGAAAGAGAGGTGAGAATTAGAAAGAAATTAGAGAGAAAAAGAGCTTTTGGTGTGAGTTTTTAGCTCATGCAAGAGTTATGGTAGGAAAATGCAGTAAAAATTATGGTAATTTTTGTTTAATTTAGGGAATTACTTGGAGAAGAGTGGTAAAGAATTAAGGAAAGTTTAGATTTATGCATGGTGATTAAGGAATTAAGTATTATGGTAAGTATGTTGTCATGAAAAATAATATGGTAAATGGATGTGCTTAGGGATTAATCAAGAATGGTTTAAGGTAAATAATTAAGATGATCAAATATTTGGGAGATGGAAAATAATAATTAAGGAAATAATAGAATTTAAGGAAGATAATTAAAATACAAAAAATACCAAAATAAGTAGCTCAAAATATCATATGGTGGTCGAAAATTTTGAGCTTTCCTAACCTCATATTTTCGGACCTCCCTATTAATACTTAGGCATTTTTTTGCTAGATTTTAAGGAATAAAAATGATTGTGTAAATAATATATACTGTATAAAATAATTAATTAGGAAAATACAATTATTTACTAATTAAATTAACTAAGAAAAATCATATTTTCTTCACTAAGAAAATCCGAAAATTCCTAGCTAATTAATTAGGAAATTTGGCTCCTTTAAATTAAATAATAAAATATAATTTTACTTAATTAAAATATCCGAAATATATATATATATATATATATATATATATATAAATTCGGTTATTAAAATAAAATAAATGCATGATAAATCTTATCCAAAATCCAAAAATAATTAAGTCTTAAAATGCTTTTGGCGCCAAAATTCAAATATCATTTTGTCTCCAAAATTCAAATAGTAAAATAAATTACTAAAATACCCTTTTTAGAAAATATTAATTAAATAATTAATTAGAAAATACGTCTAAAAAAAACGGGATATTACATATAAATCCAAACTGGTTATTATTTGAGTTTATATGAATCTGTATCGTTTACACCCGGGTAAACTCCCAAACTGACTGTTCAAACCAATTTGTTTACAACCCGAACCGCTTACTACCTGAACCGTTTACGAGCCGAACCTAAATAAAACCAATAAAAAATAAACTGGAACCAAACCGAATCGATAATAAGTTTAACCGAACCGAAATCGACCCGTCGGCGAATTAAACCAATTCCAAATTGAACCGAAACCGAATTGTCAAATCATTTTGACATTGCTAGTTGCACTAGTTTTAAACTTATTAATATTGCGAACAATTTGGACTTTTTATTTGTAGTAATCAAAGGCTAATAATAAACGAATTTAGTTGTATCCATTGCACGAGTTATAAACTAATTAATATTGTTAAAAAGTTAGAGTTTTTAGTTGTAGTAATCAAAGCCTAACAATAAATATATTGAATTGTATCCATTGTAGGAGGTCTAAACTAATTAATATTACGAATAATTTAGAGTTTTTAGTTGTAGTAATCAAAGTCTAACAATAAATGAATTTAGTTGTATCAATTGAACGAACTCTAAACTAATTAATATTACGAATAATTTAGAGCATTTAGTTGTAGTAATCAAAGACTAATAATAAATAAATTTAGTTGTATCCATTACACGAATTCTAAACTAAGTAATATTATCAATAATTTGGCGTTTTAGTTGTAGTAATCAAGAGCTAAGTTAATATTCGGGCCCGCCCATTAAACATGCCGAATAGAAGTGTAGACAATCTATTCACCCAACATACAACCTACACATGAAACATATAAATTAAGGTTATATTGAAGGTCCAAATTAGAGCCGTGATAATATTTTCCACTCATCCTCTGGCCTTTTGTCCATGGCAGAAAGCTTAATGGGATGAGTGGAAAATATTATCACATGGCAGAAAGCTACTCTTCTCAACTTCTCGATGCCATGGACCGTCTTTGGTTCCACCAAATCATTTTGTCGCCCGAACCAACTTCAGTACTTAGTTCTAGTAATGCCTTACAATCATGTACTAGTTCATCGTCGGAATCTTGTCAATGGGAGGGGGATGTTGTATCATCAAGCTCTTTCTCTCAGGTAATGTCACAGTTTCAATTTATGCTTCTATTCCATTTTAGTAGCCGTATTGATAATGTAGTTTGAATTAGTCTTGTCACAACAACTTATTCATGCTAGCTATTGTCGTCCAATTAATAAACTAAATATTTCGAATAGGAAAGAGGTTCAACAAAATTGTGTTAAAAAGGATCTGTTTTTCAAATCCCAAAAGAAATGACTTATTCTAATGTACAAAATAACGTTAGGCCTTGTTCTTTTAAGCTATTGTGGCCTGCTCTGCTATGCTTTGAAGCTCAAAAGAACATGACATTGTAACTATCTTATAACATGAATCATATGAAACGTTTCTAGTTTCCATACTAGTTTTTTTTTTTTTTTTTTTTTTTTTTTTTTTTTTTTTTTTGTGCAAACCAAATTAAGCTTTGTTGGAATGCAATCGGAAGATTCGCAAAGCTATTACGATCCACACTCATGAGGGAATAAACGACGCCTCGAAGTAATACTCGCGCCCGATCAGGCGAAGTTGGCTACAGGACAGGAGGGCTCTCGCGCCCGATAGGGCGGTGGTTCGCCTGGCTAGGCGGCGATACCTAAGTTTGACGAGCCCGACCAGGGGGTTGTTGCTCGCCCCGGGCGAGAATTCGAGATCGCCCGACCAAGCGCGATGCCTGGTTTGGGAGAGTTTCTCTCGCGCCCGGTCGGGCGGCCGATTGCCCGGCTGGGCCCACCTATTTCTTGGGTCAGCTTCGTTTATTTGTTTCCCTTATTTGGGACACCTATAAATACGAGTATTGTCTTCTTCTTTAATTATTCATTCATACGAAACAAAAAACACAAACCTATCCTTTGAGATCTGAACTGTTCTTGAGCAATTCCAACCATTGAGTTCGGGTACACGAATTGCGGAGGTCGTTGTGTAAAACTTGGGAGGCGTGCGCCACTGGAGAATTTGTACCGGTGGTGGCGTATTACGCTTCTAAGGCAGTGGGTTCCAAACCACGACACAATAGAAGGAGGTCGGATCTTGATCGATTGTAACGTGTAGCTTGTCTTTGTTCTAGATTAATACAATATTTTTCCAACAATTTAAAACCAAAATAATTATTTAGATCTGTTAATATCATGACTAGAAATTCTCGAACTCGTTTATACCTAGATCTGTCTAAGGTTGAGTCTCTTGATGGAATTAATTACAAGAGATGGTCACAAAGAATGTTGATTTTTTTAACAAGTAGAAGTCGATTATGTTTTGTTTAGGGATGCCCCAAAACCTATTGTTCAAACCAATGCTATGATTGATATTCCTAGTACTCCTGTCGCTAGGAGTAAAGAATCTGACCCTACCCAGAGTATCTCTACTACTGTTGGTAATGAATTTGAAATCAAGAAATTTGATCGTGATAATAAGTTTGTTAAGGGTCATCTTCTGAACCACATGAATAATAACATATTTGATTTGTATGTTTATATGAAATCTACTAAGGAGATATAGGTGTGTTTAGAAAAGAAATATGGTGCGGATGATGCCGAGAAAAATAAGTATAGGACTGGAAATTGGTTGAACTTTAAGTTGGTTGACTCGAAGCCTATCATGGATCAAGTCCATGTGTATAAAAATTATGTTGCAGAAATTCTTGCTCAAGGTATGAAGATGTGTGAGATCTTGTTGGATAATGTATTAATTGAGAAATTACCTGAATCCTAGTCTGACTATCGAAATCACCTCAAGCATAAGAAAAGAGATCTAACTCTTGAAGATTTAGTGAGTCATATGAAAATTAAAAAGGCAAACCGCCTTAAGGATTCAAACTCCAAGCCAAAAAATGAATTAGCTGTGAAAGCCAATCTGGTAGAACTTGATTCTAACAATGAAAGGAAATCTGATAACAATCGTGCTGGCTAGGGGAAGTCTAGAAAGCACAAAGGTAACCTCAAGCCTAGAAGCAAGATTGACAAATCCAAGACCAAATGCTAGAACTGTGGCAAATTAGGGCACTTCGCTGTGTACTGCAAGGTGAAGGGAAAGTTTGATCAGAAAAGCAATGATGGGAAGAAGGGAAAATTCAAGAATCAAGCTCATCTAGCTGAAGATGAGGATGATGATGTTATTGTTGCGGTAGTCTCTGAGGTCAACTTGGTAGAAAATAACTTTGAGTGGATTGTTGACACAGGAGCTTCCAAACACTTTTGTGCCAACAAAGATCTATTTGCTACCGTGGAGGAAGCCAAAGAGGGTGAACAAGTCTACATGGGGAACTCTAGCAGCTCTGAAGTGCTAGGGAGAGGAAAAGGTGATTCTTAAGATGACTTCAGGAAAGACTCTGGCCCTACACAATGTACTGTATGTTCCTTCTCTCTACAGGAACCTTTATTTCTGGTGCTTTGCTTAACAAATTAGGAGTTAAGTTAATCTTTGATATGATGCTAATAAACTTGTACTAACCCGCAGTGGTGAATATGTTGGCAAAGGGTACCTTAGTGGGGGTCTCTTTGTTCTTGAAATTGTAACTAAATCTTCCATTAATAAGAGTTCTACTTCTGCTTATATTGTTGAGTCCTTTGATTTATGGCATGCTAGATTGGGTCATATTGGTGTTGCCAAACTGAAACGTATGAAACGTTTAAATTTTCTCCCGAATATGTCATTAGATGGACTAGAAAAATGTAAAGTATATGTAGAGTCTAAGTTTTTGAAGAAACCTTACAAATTTGTTGATGATCATTCCTGATACTATAGGGTTTATCTATTAAGGTCAAAAGATGAAGCTGAATCCAAGTTTCTTGTGTATAAGGTAGAAGTTGAAAACCAGCTGAGTCGAAAAATTAAAAGGGTTCAGTCTGACAGAGGAGGAGAGGTACGGCTCAACTTTCCTTAAGGGAGTGCGTGAAGCTGAGGGGATTATTCATGAGGTCTCAGCTCTGTACACACCACAGCAAAATGGGATCGCAGAGAGGAAAAATAGGACTCTAAAGGAGATGATGTGAGTTTTGGGTTGCCAGACAACATGTGGGGAGAAGCTGTACTGTCAGCAAATTTTGTTCTGAACAGAGTTACACATAAGAAGTTAGACAAGACTCCATACGAGTTATGAAAAGGTTATGCCCCGAATCTGAGTTACTTGAAAGTGTGGTGTCTAGCAAAGGTGGGATATCCTTCCTTCAAACGGTCGACAATAGGCTCGAGAACGTTTGATACGGTGTTCATTAGATATGCTGAGAATAGTGCTGCCTTCAGGTTCATGAGTCTAGGCGACAATGTCATTAGCGAGTCCCGAGATGTAGAGTTCTTCGAACAGGTGTTTCCTTTGAAGAAAAATGATGTTACTAACAATTTTTCTTCAATTCCTTTGTCAACAGATTAGGTTGAAACTTCTCCCAAGACTAAGGAGTTAACTCAATTTAGGAGAAGTAAAAGACAGAAAATAGAAGCAACCTTTGGCCCTGATTTCCTTACGGCGTTCTTAACTGAAATAGAAGGTGAGGATGGTCTAGATGAGGTCATGGTTTTCCTTTAGGTTGTAAATGAAGATCCCAAAATGTTTAAAGAAACAATGAGCTCAGTTGCTGCAAGTCTTTGGAAGGTAGTAGTTAAGAGTGAACTTGAGTCCATCATGTAGAATGGCACTTGGAAACTTGTTGATTTACCAAAGGGAAGCAGACCTATAAGGTGCAAGTGGATTTTCAAGATGAAAATGAGGACAGACGACAGTGTAGAAAGGTTCAAGGCCAGATTGGTGATTAGAGGGTTCACTTAGAAATACGACATTGATTATTTCTACACTTATTCTCCGGTGACTAAGATTGCTACTACTCGTACTTTATTTTCCTTTACCTCATCATTTAATTTGTTTGTGCATCAGATGGGTGTCAAAACAACTTTTTTAAATGGTGATCTGGAAAAGGAAATTTATATGGAGCAACCTCCAGGGTTCGTAGTTCCTAGAACGGAGAATAAGGTATGTAGGCTCAAGAAGTCCTTGTATGGACTAAAGCATGCACCAAAGCAATGGTATGAAAGATTTCATAGTACCATTCTTAGTTTTGGTTTTGATGTCAATGGTAGTGAGGCATGTGTTTACTCTAAAATATTTGCTATAATTAAAACTAAGAAGTTGCTTTCTTCTAAGTTTGAGATGAAGGATTTGGGAGAAGTAGATGTGATTCTTGGTGTTAAGGTTTTAAAGACCAAAAAGAGCTATTTTCTGAATCTATCTCATTATGTAGTGAAAGTGTTTAAAAAGTTTGATTACTTTGATGTTGTGCCTTTGAAAATTCCCTATGACAGTAGTATAGCTCTAGAAAAGAATTAGGGAAAAGTTGTTTCTTTGGAGAAGTATGCCAAGATAATAAGGAGCTTGATGTTCTTGATGAATTGCACTCGCCCAGACATTGCATTTGTTGTGAGCAGGCTTAGCAAATACACTCCTTGCCCAAGCGATGATCATTGGGTAGCTCTAAGACATGTACTGAGATACCTTCGTGGAACCATGAGTTGGGGCTTAGACTTTGTGGATCGTCCTTTGGTTCTAGAAGGGTATTGTAATGCTAATTGGGTAAGTTCCAGTGATGAAGTGAACTCTACTAGTGGGTATGTTTTTACTCTTTGTGCTAGTGTTATATCATGGAAGTCTGCAAAGCAGTCTTGTACTGTATTGCCAGGTCTACAATGGAAGCAGAGTTCATAGCTTTGGATCTTGCTACCCAGGAGGCGGACTGGTTGAGAAACTTATTGGCTGACATCCTTTTGTAGGGGAAACCAACACCACCGGTCTCTATTCATTGTGATTCACAGGTTGCTATCTATGTTGCTAGGAATAGTGTCTACAATGGCAAGAAGCAGCACATACATGTTAGCAGAAGTCAATGAGACAGTTTATTGTGAATGGGGTTGTTTCTTTAGACTATGTCCGGACAGAGAAAAACCTAGCTGATCCTTTTTACAAAGGGTCTATGCAAGAGAATGGTGATTGAATCATCAACAGGTATGGGTTTGAAACCTTATGTTGAACGGATGTGAGCTTTGTAAGTATTGATTAAACATTTTAATGTTTTATGTTATGAATAAATCCTGTTTTGTTGAATATTGTATGAATGAGAAATATTAGCTTGATTTATTGCTTATTGTTTATACTTACATTTAATTGAATCTAATGACTCTTTTTGAGTGGTTGTTAACTAGGTAGATTCAACGAACAAGATGAGTTTAGATCTTAATACCTCTATCCTGGTAATCAAGAGTGAGGAGTGATGGTGGTCTTAAGTGATCTGGACTATCAGCTGAGACTGCTTGAGTAGGGAATGTGAGAGGTACCGAAGATATGAGGTTGGGTTTAGCCCTTAATGCTACGGTTAGTCCATGGTCCGCTAAGCAGGATAGGTGCACCGAAAATGTTGAAAGAGGATGAACTTAATTGTTCTTAATGTTGAATCTCCGATGCATGAATAGTCCTTGAATTTGCAAAGTATTGTGAGTTACACATATTTGCATGAATAGTTCTTGGATTTGCAGGAGTGTGTGGAGTAGTTCACACGGCAACACCTACGTAAGTACGAAGAGTGGCTCTCTTCTAGGGAGAACAAGTATGGTTCTCTTGAAGTACTCATTAGTTCCCAAGAGTAGCCAAATTTGCAGAGTTGCTTAAGATATAAAGTCAAGGTATGTGTTTACAAGATCCCTTTCTCGCTCCTAGGAGTTGAAATCTTAGGATACTTACTAGGTAAGTGTTGAAAACCTTGTGCACTAATGTGTTAGTTCAAACCTTCAGATACTAGCATTTAAGTACAGAGACTTTGATTTACTGTTCAGATTTCATGTCGTTGATCCGCTTGCATTAGTGGGGGATTGGTGGAAATAATAATGCAATCGGATGATTCGCAAAGCTGTTATGATCCACACTTGTGACGAAATAAACAACTCCTCGAAGGAGTACTCGCACCCGACCGAGCGAAGTTGGCTACAGGAAAGGAGGGCTCTCATGCCCGGTAGGGCGGTGGTTCGCCCGGCCGGCTTGCGAGACCTAACTTTGACAAGCCCGACCAGGCAGCTCTTGCCCAGTTGCTCGCCCGGGGTGAGAATTCGAGATTGCCCGACCGGGCGGTCGTGGCCCAACCGGGCGCGATGCCTGGTCTGGGAGATTTTCTCTCCTGCCCGGTCAGGCGGCTGGTTGCCCGACCGGGTTCGCCTATTTCTTGGGTGAGCTTCGTTTATTTGTTTCCCTTTTTTGGGAAACCTATTAATACGAGTACTGTTTTCTTCTTTAATTATTCATTCATACGAAACCAAAAACACATACCCATTCTTTGAGATCTGAACAGTTCTTGAGCAATTCCAGCCTTCGAGTTCAGGTACACGAATTGCGGAGGTCGTTGTGTAAAACTTGGGAGGCATGCGCCACTGGAGAATCTGTACCGGTGGTGGCGTATTTCACTTCTAAGGCGGTGGGTTCCAAACCACAGCACAACAGAAGAAGGTCGAATCTTGATCGATTGTAACGTGTTGCTTGTCTTTGTTCTTGATTTCAATAGGTATTTTTCCAACAAGCTTCACTTATATTATTGATGTTGTAAAATAAAAATATTAAATAAAAAACACTATATTATTTAATGATTTGTGTTACAACAACAGATGCGATAGGTCAATTATTAATCAAGTTGTTCAAGATGATGAGGTGTTGTTATTCATCATAAAGGTTTCTACATTACTTAGGTAATACATTATATTGATTCAATGTATAAGTCATAGTAAGTTTCTTCTTCCACTCAAATATAAAAAAATAATAATAATAATAATAAAATAAATAATAAAAAAAAAAAAACCAACTTAGTTTATGCCTCTTTTTAATTTCTATACTCAAGGTTGTCTACTTTATTATTTAACTATTTTACTTAGCTAGTTTTAGTTAATACTAGAATGTGTCCGGTTAAATGCACAAGATATTGTATTTACACGGAATGATGTAAGCCTTGTTAAAAATTAGTTTTCTTTTATACAGTATATTTTACTCTTGGAATGAAGTTGGTTTTTTATTTGGATTTTTTGTTCTTTATCAGCTTTAAATAAAAAATAATACAATAAAATAAAATAAAATAAAATAAATAAAAAAATAACCGAATTGTGTTTTATCACCCGACAAAAAAATAATATTTTACCATCCACTTAAATTTTAATTCTACATGTTATCACCTCCGTAACAAATTACATCCCTAAATTCGTTAATTAGGCCCATCTAATCGTTAGTTTTTCCTTTTTATTCCACAATTCTTCATCATGCTTACCCTAAATTTCACCTACACCAATTTAATTCCTTTTTTTGTGAATAAAGATTAATTTATAAATAAAAAGTCATACGACATCTACAAAGAGATTTAAATTTGATAAATACATAAAAATTGAATCAAATAAAAGCATTCTTTCAGCAGAGCTACAATCGTTGTTGCAAATCGTATATTCTTCATACCCTCTTTTATATCGCTATGATTTACAACCTTCTTCGATGAGGGGGTCTATTGATCTGTTGTAGTCTTGAAGAATATTTTCGTCTGATTCATCTGATTTTAATCGAAGAATTAACCTCTTTCTCGATCCCGCACAAATCTTTACCCATGAAACAACTTGTACCATACTAAACTTAAAAAACAAAAACAAAACTAGAACAAAGCCCACCATAGGGGCACTTACTACACTCAAACCCACAATAGGGGTACTTACTACCTTTCAAATAGTGTAATTTTATTGAATTTAATAACAAAAACTTAAGGAAACTAAAGGAAAAGGGTCGGAAATAGCCAAATTTCTGGAGAAATTTTACTATTTTCGGCTTATAAAACACTTTTTTGAAGAACCCTAAAGAGAAAAAAAAAAATAGAGAGGAGACGGCTAGGCAATTAAACCTAAGAATACTTTCACCAATTTAATTCCTTCTTTTTACAAACTTAATTTGTTAAGGAAGCTGTAAAATATAGAATTAAACTTTTTTAGTGAGCGGTACAATATTAGGTGGTAATAAACTAGATCTTACAAATTAAAAAGTCCTTTTTATGAATTAGTGATCTGATACAAGGTAGTTATTGAATGATTTTGAGAAATTAAGTTTAATTATAGCTTTTGAATGGTTTTGGAGGTGTAAGTGAATGTTGAAAGTTTTTTTTAAAAGACAAAGTGAAAGTTATTGTAGAAAATTTGATTTTTTGTTTAATATACACTAGCTTAGGCTCCGTGCCATGCACGGTAAGTCTATTTTCTTTAAGAAAATGTTAATTATATCTAACAAATAAAAGTGACACTTTAAATTTCATTAATATCAATAATATGAATCAATTTTATTACGAGAGTATTACTTTTTTGGCAAAATATAATATTTCTCTGTTTATCATATAATAAAAAAGGAGTTGGAATAATATTTTAAGTAAATGTGTATGGAAGAATTATGAACACCAAATAAAAAGGAATATTTTTGTCATAAAGATAATATAAATTTTTTTGAAATGATATTATTATAATTGTATCAAATATTCAAAAAAAAAAGGTTAAAAAAGGAAGGGGAGTTTTAAAGGGGAAAAATAGCATCAGGATGTGACACGTGTTACTTTTGGTGTCTGTTTTAGTATAAAATTACTGATGATTGTGTATAAAAAGTGAGGATTGAAAATTTGGGATAATAAGGTGGTGAATATTTAAAAAAAATAACTCCTAAATCCTAATTATATACTTCGTATATGGTTTGATTTGTTGACACTACTAGTTTTTTTGTTGACATTACTAGTTTATGTACAATTGCAATTGATATTAGTGAAAGTAACGTAATTGTGTAGTTTTGTGGTCTTTAACCAAAGAAAGTGACTTAGCTATTGCATTAGTTTTAATCATGCAAATCACCCAATGGAATCAAAATCATTGCCTCATGGTAAGCTTATCATATCCTAGATTAGAGCCACTTTTACCAATTCACCAACATACTTTTCAAGATTTCAAGTTCTCAATATAGATAAACCAAAATATAATCCATATGTTCCGGTTTACTTGCCCGTAATCAATTTCACAAGATGTCAAGATTTATGTAACTAATAGAGTGGGAAGAAAGAATAATTAGGAGTATTAATTAATTTATAAGTCAATTTGTACAATGTCAAGATGATATATATACAGAGAATTAATTAATTTATACATTTCATATTGAACAGAAGGATTGCAATAATGAAGTAGAAGACAAGAGACAAGATGATGGTGATGATAATCGTCTTGGGAGGGAAAGATTATCAAGGAAAAATTTGATTAGCAATAAAATTAGGTCACAATCGTCCTCTCCATGGATTGAAAGACCAAGAAAGAGTTCAAGTCTTTTGACGAATGCAGGCCTTAAATTGCAAAAATTCTTAAGTTGTAGCAGATTGCATGATCTTGAGCTAGAAGAGTTGAAAGGGTTCATGGATTTAGGATTCCAATTTGAAATGGATCAACTTAACCCTCGAACTGTGAGAGTAATTCCGGCCTTGCAAAGAGTTGATGAAAAGTATGGAACGAGCACGCTTGGTGATATAGAACCTCAAACCAAAGAGAAAAAGAACAAAGTTGTGGAGCCATATTAGTCTGAAGCATGGACGATAAAGAGACCGGACTCGCCGTTGCTAAGGTTGAGAATGGCAAGGGTTTCTAGAGAAGAAGAGCTGAGAGAATGTCTTAAGCTTTGGGCTAGAACTGTTGCATCAACTATGCAATCTGATTAGTTTTCCATCTGTTTATTTTTAAGTGTATCTATTGACTTGCACATAGTTTTGACTTTATTAAAATAATATATAAACAAGGTTTGTTGGAAAATTAAAAAATTATTAAAAGAAGATAGTGGGTGAATAATTTACTTGAAAGTGATGGAAAAAGGAAATATAAAAAAGTAAAAGTGGAAATTATGGGTGGAGAAAGGTATTTAACAATGCATAAAAGCTTTAATTTCCATTTTTTAGAGTTGTTGCCCTTAAAAACAGCAGGTTTTGTGTGTGGCTTATCACATGGTGTGGCTAGCTAATACACAAGTAACCCCTGACCAAGTAATCCCTAACAAACCTAGCAATCCCAAACCAACCTAGTAAAACCAGACTGATCTAGTAACCCCAGACTGATCTAGTAACCCCTAACCGATCTAGTAACCTCTAACCGAGTAACCCTTAACCAACCTAGTAACCCCTGACCAAGTAACACCTGACCGACCTAGTAACCCCTGACCGAGTAACCCCTGACCAAGTGTGTAATCCCCGACTAAGTAACCTCTGCTAACCGAGTAACCCCTTTTCATAAATTAATTTTAACTCTATTGTTTGAACATCAAATAAAGTTTAATTTTCCTTCAAAAAAAATATAGTTTAAGTTTAGAAAAAATAGAGGAATAGAGGAGAAGGAGAAGAACAAAACAACTCAAGTGAAGAACGCAAAGGGGTTCGCTTGCGAGAAAAAGTAAGGATTCCATGACATTCTCTTTCTCCTCCTCCTTGTTCTTCTTCTTCATGCAGTTTTACTTTCTCTCTCCTTTTTCTCTAATTCCATGCAAATCTCAACCCTAAATTCATTCTTTGACAAACAACAACAAAAACAAACTACTCAAAACTGCCATTGCCAAAGACAAAATTGAAGCGAAAAATTACTCTACAATCTACTCATACTGCTACTATTGTTGTTTCTGCTACTGAATTTTTTACGAAGAATGTTCGATCAAAGATTCCACGAAGAAAACGAGCTCACATTTCTCCAATTCTCATCGATTTCACTACTTCAAATGTTGTTAATGATCTTAAGCTTAATCGCAATATTTCACAATAATTCGGCACCCAATTTCTACAATTCGGGCTTTAATTGCAGCAATTTGGCAAAGAGGAGAGAGAAAATGGGTGGAGTAGGAATACGGTTGTTGGTGATGTGTGGTTTGGCTTGGAGAAGAAGATAAGAAAAGAAGAGAGAGAAGACTTGTGGTGCAAGATTTTTATTTTTTTTTTTAAAAAAAGTTGTGCTTAGTTGTATGAAATTATTACACAAAAAATAGAGGAATAAACTTTTCTTTTTTGGGAGTATGGAAATATGTTTTTAGGAGTATGTGAATATAAACAACGGTCATTTAGGATGTGCATAGCCTCAAGTTTTATGGGTTAATGAAATTTTTTTTTTCATTGACATAAATACAACAAAGCAAAACAACAATGAATAAGAAAATAAGCAGACTAGAAGTGAAAATACAGCACGCCGACATGCAGAAGTTATGGCTAACTAATGGGCAGAAGATACTATAACTCGGGGCTCATTTTGAACTTGGCATGCCGAGAAACCCGAAATAACATTCCTAATTTCTTTCTTGATCAAGAGTATAGAATTATTAGATGAGCCCTTAGCTTGTCTAACCCTAAAGCGCATTGTTGTAACATCATAGTTTTTTTAGATTAACCAATGAAGGAACCCCGCTTCTTGATGGCCAAATCGCCAAACGCAAAGTTAACAAGCAAGCCAATGATTCAGATTGTATAGCATAGTTGGTAATACATACCCAGGCACCACCCTCTAAAATACGAGTTGAACGTAACTCTGGAAAAATCCAGCTTAAGCTTGTCCCTGCACTATGGTCCCTAGAATCTCAAGTGGGCTCGTTAAACGAAAGGCAAATATCCAAAGAGTTCGACATGCTATCCGACAGACATAGAGAAGATGAAAAACAGGTGAAAGCAGGAGGAAGATGGTAGGACAAACAAGATAAACAAGCACGAGGTTTGGATCTCCTAACAAACCAGGTAGTTAAGAAAAACACATATTCCGGAAAAATGCCCTCTTTACGGAAGTGTAAGTTATTCTGAGACAACCAAATTGCCCATAGTAGACTAAGAAAGGAATCAAACCAAAATAGTCTTTAGAAGATTGATGCAAGTAATTTAAAGAAACAAAGACCGCAAATCAAGCTTCAAAGGAAAGATTGGAAGCAAAATCTAGGCGAATCCTAAACGGACCACTAACTTAGAGACGATTAACAAATGGATAGTCCAAATTAAATAAGACATCATCTTGAGAAACTAATGACAGATACAATGTAAGGATCCATAGGAAAACCCTTCATTTGTAAGGAACTCGCTCTAGGTAGAGCATTATGAAGAAGCTTTTAGGCAAAAACTTCCCACTTAGGAAGGATCGACATACCCCAACATTTTCTCCACTAGAGAGAAGAAGGGTAATAGGAAAACGACAACAGATAACCTAATTAATAAACCAAATGAATGTATACTGATTTTGTCAAGAAAGACCCATCTTTGGTAAATTTCCAGTAGATGAAGTTATCCACTAATTTTCGCGGTCATGCAAAACCTAGACTATGAAAAGTTGTAGACGAAGGTCATAACTGGTGAACCATAGAGGTATCCCATGCGTAATAACGCAGATTAAGCAACAAAAAAACGTGAGTAAGTAATATTGACTCATTAACCGAATATTCTAAAGTGAACTTCAGTGTCGGGAACTCAAGAATCACCCAAGATTTGAACCTAAGACTTAGAAGCCATCCTCTAAGCATTGCCTTGTCAAAGGGCGGTGAGACCCTCAACCAAGCTATGACATCCCCAAGAAAGACGAAGGATCCTATCTGCTGCTTAAACCACCAACAACAAATATTTGGCCTACAATACACGAGAGAGGAGCTGGGGATGGTGAATAGGTAAGGTTCAATGTCTGCTGGACTAGGAGGGTCGAGCTAAAGCAACCCAAATGATGAAGACAGACCACCAACACCCTTAGGCCGTTGAAAAGGGAAGAAGAAGTTAAAGAAAGACCCCTAGAAAAGTCACTCGTTCTCCACAAGAACCTTGGCCAACATGTCATCTATCCGATCACACATAGTCGAAATTGTTCACTCTCTAACTTTTCATATAATATTTAAAAATCTTTTCTTTTGTTATTTCTCCAATTTATATTTTGATTGTGAGTTTACATCAACTCATTAAGTATCGAACGGTTATATTATGATGTTTAGGGCCGCGCTAGATGTATTTCTCAAGAGCAAAGCTCCAGCAAGTAAGAACAACTCCAATTGTTGTAGTTAGTGACTTACTTGCTTGCAATTTTCAAAATTCTCTAGCTATTAGCTTGACTATTGGAGCTAAAAAATACAGTTTGCTTGAGAAAATAGCTTCCACAATTTTAGAGACTAATGTATAAATATAATTAAATTTTTAAAGCTAATTGAGAAAGTTAAGCTCATTTCAACACCAAGCCAATTCAACAGCTAAACATTGAGGCACAAAATAGCTATAAAGAGAATAAGCTGAAAATTCTATGTGGCATGGCAAACTTACATGACAATCAGCTTACCATTGAAAATGCTAAAGTATCCTTTTTTTTTTAATGCCTCACTTTGACTTTTTGAACTGTTACCATATTTTACTTTCACCATTGGTTTTTTTTTTTTTTTTTTTTTTTTTTTTTTTTTTTTTTTTTTTTTTTAGGAAATAACCAATGTTAGTTATATATGCATAAGTAGAAAAAATAATCATCATGGTATTTGTTGGAATCAATTTAATATATAGTTTTCAAATATCAATCTTTTATAAAGTATGTATACTTTATGATGATCGATAAAATTATTAGGAAAAATACATTTTACTTATAATAATCCTATTTATGACCTGACTTTGCCTCCAATAGACCCAACCGGTTAACACCAAGTCAACGGCTTGTTGTAGCAGCTAATCAATACACGTTTCAGCACGTGATTGGTCTAAAATTAAAAAATTAAAAAAAAAAAAAAAAAAAAAAAAAAAAACCAAAATCCCTTAACAGCCACCACCGCGAAACCCAAGGGCCAAACCCATCCCATCGGAACGGCCAGTCGCCTCCCCTAACCCCTGAAAACGGCCAGCTGGCCTCTGCTGACCCCAGAAACTGGCGCTGGAGTTGGTTGCGTTAGCGTTAATTATTGGACAGTGGAGGTTGCGGTTTGTGGTGAAAATGTGAGAGTTTTTTTTTTTTTTTTTCCGACGAGGAGGGAGGGAAGGGAGGGGGTGGTTTGACGTTGACTGCTGCGATTGGTGGTCGAAATTGATGTAAAATGTGGCGAATTGTGGTTATTGGAGGTCGAATTGATGCTTAGTGGATCGTGGATCGTGGTTTTGGGGTTACTCCGACTGCTCCTGCTGTTGTTGCGGCAGCCATTTAGGGGTTGCTTCGTTTAAATCCTCTCCGACCGCCGGCTCTAAATTACTATGTTTTTGGGCTGGTGCTTGTTGCGGTATTGGTGGTGATTGGTGATGCCTGCTGCGGTTGTAATTGATGGGTTGGTAGGTCGGCAGGTGGCGAGGTTGGTGAGGTAGGTGGAGGTTTGGGTTGCAATTTTGGGCTGGTGTTGGAGATGCGGCTCTGTGAATGTGAGTTGGGAATGGTGCGCTGCAGTTACGGTGGTTTGGGGAAGAGGGAGGGGGTCTGTGGTGGCTGGTGATTTTGGGGTTGGAGGGCCTGTCAGCTAGTGGTTTTGGGGTGGCTGGTGGTTTTGGGGGTTGGCCTAGGGTTGGTGAAGGGAGAAGCGGGTGGCTGGGATGGTTTTTGTTTTTGTTTTTTTTTGTTTTTTTTTTTTTTTAATATTAGGCTAATCATGTGTTGACATGTGGCATTTAAAAACAAAAACAAAAAAGTTTACCCGTTCAACAAGTAATCGGTTTTTGGGTCTATTCGAGGCAAAGTTTGGTCATATTTAGAATTACTAAAATATAAACCTGAGTTGGGATTATTAGAAGTAAATCAACATTAGTTAGGATTATTAAAGTATATTTTTTCAAATTAATTATTGGACAAATTTTTGTATTAACATACGTGAATAAACAAACTTGGTCGAACACTTATTACTAAAAAAACAAAGGGATTAATCTTAAAATAATTTTTTTTTATTTCGATTCTGATTAGGGGATTTTTACCCCGCCACGTGGACCAATCAAGACCCTCCACGTGTCATTCACG